CGAGCGAACGCTTTAACCACTCGGCTACCCGACCGTTGTAGAGAAGAATAAATCAGGGGATTCTGGGTGAGAATTGTTCATGTCGGGAATCGAACCCGGGTCTTCAGTGTGACGAGCAAACGCTTTAACCACTCAGCTACCCGACCGTTGTAGAGAAGATAGATCAGGGGATTCTGGGTTAGAATTGTTCCCTTGCAACTTCTGCTGGTAATAATGGGTGACTTATCAGATGAATCACCTGGTTGTCTGATGCAGGCTTGATTATTTACAGGCCACCTCATATTGTTGGAATATTGTTTAATGCAGCGCTAAATTGCAAGTGATTGCAGTTGTATAACAAATTTAATAATAAAAAATTAGTTTATTATGTGCTGAATATCCAGTCACCAACCTGAAGTTAATGTGCTCCAACTTGTTCCCTCTAGGGATGATGGTATGCACTGAGTTACCCCAGAACAGCTCCACAGGTCTAATGTACAAATTAACTTCAGATTGCCGTGGCAACTGAGCATCACTCATAATGACCTCTGGGACCTCACTGAGTGTATTGTCATACCCTCATCACTGTAACATTGAAATGGGATTGATGACTTCAACTTCTTGTGATGTGATGTTTTCTGGTACAGGAGGTTAGGTACCATACCAAAACATCACATTGGGAGAATAGTGAACTGTATGCCATAAGAGAGCTTCCTTGATGTAAGAGGGGGCACAGATAGCCCAGTCGTCTTAGGTGCCGCGATTCGCTGTGCAGAGTTGCGTCCCTTGGGCACGCCAGAAACCTATGATTGTGGGTTCGAATCACGGTTCGTCCCGATTATGTTCCTAGGTTTGTCAGCACCTGATAAAAGCCCCAAAACTGTACCAAAACATGGCATTGAAAGAATAGTGAACTGTATGTCATGGGTCATCTTGCTTCCCACGGGTACTGGGGCACAGGTGGCCCAGTCGTCTAAGACGCCAGAAACCTATGATTGTGGGTTCGAATCCCGGTTCACCCTGATTATGTTTCTAGGTTTGTCAGCACCATACCCGTGCTAGTTGGTTTCACCGAAGTGGTAAACGTCTGATACCTGCATCGCTTCAGGCTTTCCTCCCACATTAAGCTGACACGCCGCGATATAACTGGAGTACTGTTAAAAGCGGCGTTAAACCTAACTCACTCACTCCTACAGGTAGGTACTTGTACCATTGGCGTGCCACCAGTACCAAAACATGGTATTGAAAGAAGTTGAACTCCATAAGTCAGTCTTTCCTGCATTGATGCTACAAAATGTAAATGTCACCTGAAGACATGTTTACCTTGAAAACCTGTATTGAAGCTATGTCAAGAATGAGGGTCTGTCAATATGTGTATTTGCTTTATATTCATGTTGGTTATGGATACAGCACCCTAGATAGGTAACACTGCCTTAGAGCTGTCAGTGCTCTCATGTTGGATTACCGTACATTATGGGGGGACAGGGGATGCAGGGAGGGGGGACTACAGTGGGGGACGACCATCAGTAGTTGTCTGCTGGCCCTAGTGGTAGGAGAGCTGCATAATCAGAGAGCTGTGGGACTGGTGTTGTACAAAGTAAAGTCTGGTGAGGATCTCTTGTTATGTGATAGTGTTGATTTGTAACTGTCTGTGCCTGTTTGTGTTGTACTGTTTTTGATGAAGACATTGTCAGGCTTCTGCTCGTTGTGGAGGTAGCTAGCTGCTGTAACTGTATTCTTCCCCTGTTAGGATCTGTGTTGTAATTGGTGCTGCTGTAGCACCTAGTGTTTGTTTCATGAAGGAGGAAGGAATGGTGAAGTTGTTGCAGAGTATCAGGTTTCAGATGTATACTACCTAGGAGGCAGATATTTTACCCTAGTCTGTCTAACAGTCCCTGGACCATATTATTTCCCCTTCTACCCAGCCCTTTTTCTAATGCAAAAGCACTACATCAAGTAAGTCTAGATTTTCCTCTGGTCTGAATCTCCCATCTCTGGGGCTCTTTTCAATATTAATGGAGTTATTTGGTCCATCAAAAAATATATTTTCAGAGACTAAACATGAGTCTACTATTGCCAGGGTGTGATGTCGAGGGTTTAGCAAGGAGAGGGAACCTCTGAGGAGAACACAGCCTTTTCAGAAGTATAAACACTTGTTAATGTACGATCACTAAGCTTCCTGCATGTCAAACTGTATGAGCATTCACCGACCGACACAAACAACTTCATGCCAAATAAGATACAACACCCAAAGTTGGTTTTGTTTCATCTGATTGATCAAAGTTAATTACTCAGCAAAAATCCATAATAAAAGTTTAGAATAGGTCTTCATCAAGCCATGCTTACCGTAAAAGGAGGCTATGCTTGTTGTAAGAGGCAACTAGCGGGATCGGATATTCAGACTCGCTGACTTGGTTGATGATGCATGTCATCGTATCCCAATTGCGTTGATCATTCCTCATGATGTCAATGACTGGATTGTCAGACTCAGATCCAGACTAAATTATTTACAGACCACCATGATATAGCTCTAATATTGCTGAGTGCAGCGTAAAAGAAAAAAGAAGAAAAAGAAAAGTGTAGCCTTACTTACCATTTAATTTTATAGATATTGTCTATCATTAGCTGTGGCCCAGAGATGATAGTGAACCCTTAAACATAAACACTCATGGAAATAGCTTGAAGTGAGTTCACAAAGTTTTCGTAAAATATATAGATATAGATCTACACAGGATTTTACCTTGACGTATAAAAGCGGGAGTCCAAGGGACACCAATAATTAATTTTAAGGGTCCTTTCAGACTGTGCATACAAGGAATATTATTTTGTGTCCCCAGGGATGCAGTATGTTTTTTTCTGCATGCATTTCTACATCTGTGCATAATGGACACACTTTTGTGCTTTGTGTCAAACCCTGCTAGAATTTCTTTGATTATCAGGATCTGGGTGCCTTAAAGGGGTAAGAGGATGTGGTTGTCTTAAAGGTGTAAGAGGATGTGGATTTTAAGGGGTTAACATGGTCAAGCACAGATGGCCTGCTGTAGGGGGACTTGGTGACCCGAGTGTTGAGATTTAGGTTAGCAGGTCATGACCACATGAGGTCACATGACACAGTGATATATATCTAGATAAGCATGATAAGGTTCATGGTACAGGTGCCCTTTGCTGGGGTTATTGTGACCTTCTTTAACCTCACACCATATCTTGTCACACACTTCACACCTTTTCTATCGTAGTAATGGCTTTACATTGAAATGTTTTCTGCTAGTGATTGTTATGATAATTCCTTGGACTGATTAAGTTTAATAATGTATGGGATTTCTTCATATTTTTCCTTTGTCATCTGCGGCGTTGTAATTCACTGCTCAGAGTTACATCCCTTGGGCATACTAGAAACCATGAACGTGGGTTCGAAGCCCGGTTCGCCCCAATTATGTTTTTTGGTTTGTCAATACCTGTGCTCATGGGTTTCACCAAAGTGGTAAATGTCTAAGACCTGCATAACTTTGGGCTTTCCTCCCTCATCAAGCTGACATGTCATGATATAAGTGGAATACTGTTGAAAGCAACGTTAAACCAAACTCACTCACTCACTCACTCACTCACTCACTCACTCACTCACTCACTCACTCACTCATTTGTCATATATATTTCATCTCAACTCAGAGTTGATAGTTGGCATTTCTAGAGTTGATAGTTGGCATTTCTAGAGTTGATAGTTGGCATTTGTAGAGTTGATAGTTGGCATTTGTAGAGTTGATAGTTGGCATTTCTAGAGTTGATAGTTGGCATTTCTAGAGTTGATAGTTGGCATTTCTAGAGTTGATAGTTGGCATTTCTATCTATAGCAAGAGGTGAAGAGCAATGGTGTTTTACGTGTTGTGTGTGTGAGATACTATGCCACCATTAAACAGACTCTCAGACTACCAGTTCTTGTTTTATCCCCTTAATACCAAGTGCCAGGCATGGTCTCAACAAGTACCATCTTTTGGTATGATAGGGCAGAGGATTGAATGAACACCAGCCAGACTCTTTATCCACTAGATGGAGGTTGTCTTCTATAGCCAGAACCACAAAGACCATTTGGAATTTTTCAAGCAACTTGTTGCAAGTTGGTGTAGCCATGAATGAATACATATAATTAAGTTTGTATCTCTTTCCATTTTGTCAGTTTGTTTTAAGTTTTGTACCAATACAAACAATCTGAATGAATGAATATTGTTATAATTTTCCAGCTATTTGCAGCACAATCAATCTGAGTGAGATATTTTATATTTGACCCCACCTTGGCAATGTATCATCCATCATTATTATAGCAACATTTATACAGCAACTTATATACAGTGACCATCAAAGCCCTGGTGACAATTGAAAAGTTAGGCCAGTGTGGTTTGTGGCCCGCAGAGCACTAATATTAGACCATCCTGCTGACAAGGATTCCAGTTTGACAAGTTCTCTTGTAACTTTTCAATGATATTTAGAGAATAACCGAAGAGCGACAAGGAATTACGGATTATCTGTCCCTCGTGAATGGATGTTGGTAATCCCTAGCCATTGCCGAGGGACTTACAGCATTCATTCACGAGGGACAGACAATTTGTAGTTCTGAGTAGGTTATTCTGTATGTTACTCACTGACATATTGAGAGAGAAAATGAAGAAATAACATATGAAATGTCAACCCTACAGAGAAACCTCACTGAAGGCAGCCTGTTGTTCAGATGATGTAATGAAATGTTTATGACGTCATGAACAATTGATAATGTTTTTCTCAACTGTGAAGCACTGTGACATCAACTGACCAATCAGCATTGAAAATTGCTAAGATTTGCAGATGTCGGAAAGTTGTTATACACCATCATTCTACCCTTGAGTAATATAGTAAGTTAATGGAGTTTCAGACTTTTTTCAAGGTTTAACTGTATTCATATATATATTTGGAGATACCCGGTATGTATAAATATATGTGATGTGATGATATACTTCAGATGAGTCTTCAATGAATGTTTCCTTCTGCTTCAGATGGCCTTCAGTACGTCTGCATCCAGCGGGATTCGCGAGGGGATGCTGCTTGGGCTTGGAAACCCTCTATTGGACATTTCCATCCAGGGAGACAAGTCATTCCTCGACAAGTATGACCTCCTTCCAAACAACGCCATCATTGCAGAGGACAAGCACCACAACATGTTCGCCGAGATGACTGACAAGTACAGCCCAAGCTACTTGGCAGGGGGGGCAACACAGAACAGCATCCGGGTTGCCCAATGGTTGCTGGAGAAACCAGATGCAACGACATTTTTCGGAGGGGTTGGTGCTGATCAGTTCTGCAAGATCCAGGAGGAGAAAGCGAGGGAGGTGGGAGTCCATGTCTGTTACCAGGTCCACCAGGGGATGAAGACAGGCGTCTGTGGAGCCATCATCACAGGAGAAAATAGGTCATTGGTTACAGAGCTTGGTGCGGCAGAAATGTTTTCACTAGATTATTTAGAACTACCTGAAAATTGGAAATTTGTTGAAAAAGCTCAATTTTACTACATCGGTGGGTTCCTGTTACCAGTGAGTCCTGCCTCTGTGCTGAAGGTTCTGAAGCATGCAGCTGACAAGAAGAAAACAGTCATCATGAATCTACATGCCACATTTCTGTGCAAATATTTCACTGATGCTGATCTGGATGTTATGCCATATGTTGATGTTCTCTTTGGAAATGGTGACGAAGCTGCTGAATTCTCCAAACATGCAGGATTCGGGACATCAAGTGTTGAAGAAATAGCATCCAAGACCGCAGCTCTGCCAAAGATCAATTCGTCACGCTGTCGCACAGTGGTCTACACCCAAGGGAGGGACCCCACCTACCTTGCTCACGATGGGAAGGTCTCGGTATATCCAGTCAAGCCAGTAGACCCAAGTGTCATCAAGGACACAAATGGATGTGGAGATTCATTTGTGGGGGGCTTCTTGTCTCAACTTGTCCAGGGTAGATCCATTGATGAGTGTGTCCGATGTGGGTCCTATGCAGCCAAAGCCGTCATTCAGCATTATGGGTGCACCTTCCCTCCCAAGCCAGACTTCAAGTGAACAGTCGTCTTGTGCCAGTCAACCACTTCTCCACCAAGTTCATACACAAACAACTTCCTCTGCCTGGTGTTTGTCAAGGAAAGAACAATTATCTAATAATGTTTCAAAGAAGATAAATTTGAGTTATTTTCAACAAATATCAAATCTGGTGACATGAAATTTTTGGGAGTTATTTTGTCGAAAACAGAATTGATGCAAATGTAGATTAAATTCATTGAATGTTACACATTCTCTCAATGAACTAATAGCAATGCTGTGAGTATGAACTAGGTCAGATGTCAACGAATCTCAGTGTTTTTTCCAGTTCCATCTGTGTGATATATTTCTGATTTCATTTTATTTGTGATACACCAATTAATATTTATACAGTCTTTTTGTCATGACAATCTATTTTTACATCTTCCTTTGTGAGGAACCCCTGTTTATAAAGGGATACCTAGATCAGGTTTATACCAAATGAACATAAGGTTCGACCATAGTGGCACCACGCATCACTACACAGCCTAAGTGATCAAGTATGGACAGTTATTCTAAGGTTGAAAATACGATATTCAAAACCTCCCTTCTTTCCTTGATCACAGTGATATTATTTTTGCATAACATGTATTAATGAAATGTGAATAGAATCCAGGCAATTAATTGTTTACTTGGTTTCAAGTCTGCTTACTCAAAATTTCGTAAATGCTGAATAAGATATAAACAAAAATATCCTTTTTAATCTCTTTTTTTCATACTGCAAAGTCTGTTAAATAAGATGAGTGGGGGGAAAAGTAACTGTTGATTTGTTGTTCTAAAATAATGTTTGTTTTTAATTTCACTTGGACAACAATACTTCAAATCAAATAAATATCATTTGAAGAAAATAAGTATAAAATATAATTTAACCAGTGATCTGCACTTCTGTAAACCAAGTAACTGTTATTAAAAATAGGTCTCAGTTTTTGGTTAGATCTTTAATATTAACCTGATTTATTTTATTCATACATAATTGAACTGAAAAATGCCACACTTTTCTTACTGTGAAGACGTTTTGTAAAATTGTTATGTGACACTTATCTTATCGCAATCAGGTTTCATTCATTGCATTTTTTTTAGCCACATTTGTTATTGTTTAAATAGGAATATTAGTCAAATATTTAGTCTTGAATCAAAGTGCCATATTGCTGTATTATATGCGTAATGATAATAGTGCTATATTTTTTAAGGTATGGGATATGAATGGGAAATATTGGGTGAATATGAATTATTACATTTGATATGATCAATTTTCTTAACAAAAACAATACGCACAAGACCACCAGCTGTTTCCATCCACTGTCAACTACACTCATGCTGATTCTCCTCCGATAGATTACTTCATGCTTTCATCAATTCCTCATCCGCATCAATTATTACCGATGTAAGTTTCTTTATTTGGTTCCTTAATAACTGAAAGAGCAAGGTTTTTCTGTCAACAGCTGGGTCATAAACTGTATGTAAAGGGCATTACTTATTGTCTTCATGGGAATGAGGAAATTAGTGTATGTTTGGGGAATTGATGAATATTTTGATTTTATTTGTAGTTATGTATATATAGTCATGATAAATGAAATACTTATAGAGGAATATTACATCTTAATCATAGGAATAGAGAAAAAAGTCTTTTGGAAGTGTTCATGAACGACAATCTAAGAAATAATTAAATGTGTTGAATTAATTATTTGATTCTCTTTATATTTATATTGGGGAAAAAACTAAAATTGTTTCTGTTGTCTTTTAATTATATTATGTGATTAATGAGGAGTCTTCTCCATACAGACAATGTCTGTGTCTTTGGCTGCTACTAAGCTAGTCTTAAGCACAAAGTCGAGTCAAATGTATTTTGGTTAATTAAGATAATATACTCAATTCCTCCTATAGAAATGCACACCCTAAAGTATGAAATGTCCGAAAAAGGAAAAGGTAATATGTATACCTTTTCTTTTCCGGACATTTAATATTTTAGGGGGGAATTTTTGGAATTGAGTATAAAATAAAATATAAATAATAATAAGACAAGTAAGAACCTTTGATGACAAGGCGTATTTTCTTGAACATTTCCCAAGATTTGATATTCTCAGACATATTCCCAGGTTGTGACTCAGAAATGGCAGTGTGTATAAGATTTTGTTTGGGATTTGGATTTCGTGACTGAATTTGGGATTTTGGATTTGCTGGATGTGTATTACGAATTGACTTGTTTGTGTGTGTTGTAGACCATTGCAGAGTTATCTTGGTAGAAGATCAAGTTTCATTGTGCATTAAGCTGACATCAAAGAGTCGCCATGGCCACAGGTGGATATATTCAATGTCATCCCTTCTAACAGAATCATGTTATTTTTGCACTCTATCTCCAACATACACCCTGGTCACAAAAGCTTGCTTATCTTTTCATTTTTGTAAAATTACTGAAGTATAGACACTCCTTTTGCAGCCTTATTTGGAAAGAAATATGATGATGTTTTACTATATAAGCATGAATGAGGGGGAACGTTCTCAAGCTGTACATTAGTTGTCAGAATCTGGTACGAGTGGTTGATGGGCAGGTGTTTGATCAAGAATTTGATTTGGTTAAATTTTAGTTTAAAAGCCATGAAGTTGTGTACACAAGTTTTGGTGCAAGATACTTGAAAGAGCGAATATTTATCAGATGTGTGTTGTTTGTAGTTTATATTTTGAGTTGAATTAGCATTTTTGAATTATTTGATAACTTTCTGAAAGTTGATAGGACAGAACAAATTTTGATTTTATTATATCTTGCGCTTCAAATTCTGAAATTCTGAAAATAACTATGTGCACTAATCATTTTTATTTCTTACATTAAGTTTAACAATAAGTTCAGTTTTGGTTTTGCTTTCATGAAAATTTCAGTTCATATTTTTGGGGGGAAATCTGGATTAATATCTAACACTGGTGTACCTGTATAAAGAATGAGCTGCATGCTATTTTGAGAACGGTATGATTGTAAATAGTGTACAGTGACATGGTCATCCCTAGCCTTAATGTATGCCATCTTTTGTTGTTCCCGTCTGGTGGAAAGTGTGTGATATTTTGAGTTGGGCATTACGGAGATGTGATAAAAGCAAAGCCATCATGGTCCAAAGCAAAGGTCAGGGACTGAAACTGAAGAAGGTGTGAAGTGATAAATATTACATGTTTATGAAATTGATCAACTTTACTTACATAATCTGTTCGAGGTTGATAAAGATTTAGAATTTACATGATTTAAGAAAGCATAATTTCTTTTTCAGAAACCAAATCAAACGGGAAATAAATTTATTTGTGTGCTTTTTCTCTGCAACAAAATTACATTACCAGTAAGTGAAAGGGAGCAACATATTGTGATATGTAACAAAATTAGCTACCTTAAGACTTGATTGTAAAACCTAAAGAGCTACACCAAAGGGAGACAACTGTGATGGTCCTTTGCCTAGCATTCTACTCCAAACAGCTCCCCAGGCAGCAGATGTACAGGCTATTTTGTAAGGTTAACTCAGTGGTTCAATAGCACAGGGCAGATGGAGAATATTGCACATTTCTCATGAAGCACATTGTTAAACACAAGATGCAGTTTTATGTTACATTTAGTCCTAGAAAAGTCAACCAAAAACCTTGATCTGTGCTTCTTTGCAATCTTGGTCAAAATGCCAACTCTGTCGTGAATATTTCAATTTTAAGACCAGCTAACAATATTTTGCAAGTATTGATTGTGTGATGCAGGTTGTAGGTTTTCACAGGTATAATACTGACAGGGCATCTTTCCATAAAGCAACAACTATCATAAATCAGTGTAAGGATTTGTTTTTTGGTAAGCGATCACAAGGATACGAATATCATAGGGATGGATACATTAACATAATTCTTTGTAAATGCATGGAATTTATGACAGTCAGAGCACTTGGTTTCCTTCCGGCAACAATGGGACCATGGCTATATAAATATTGCATTGAAGCCATATCCCACAATGTTTTCTTGTATGGGAGCTGTGACATAAAAACTTGTTTTGGTGAAAGAAAATTGATGTTCCCCATCACTGCGTTTGTTGACAGCAATTTGCTGGCTTTTTCCTGTAATGGTGAGATGTGCATTATCCTCGCATTACCATGCTTGACTGTGTTTGAGATGTAGGTGTGCAACAAGGATGCATACTTGCTCTATGGCTATTTCAATGAGATATTATGATTTTATGGTTTTCTACTAGTAGTCACTGTTTCGTAGTTCATGTAGTAGGATACTCTTGATAATATAAAAAATATTTTCACTGGGTCAATAAAAGTAGGTTGTTACGTCAAATTTCACCTATGACAAAGCGATGCAAACAAATTTCAAGCACTTGAATTATATTATGTGTTTTCAGAAAATGAAGACTTTATTACAATATCGGTTGTCAAAACATGATACCAACCAAAACTATTTTTCAGTTTCAACAGAAAAAACAGATGTTTTGATATAAATTTCTATTTATCATTGTGAATTTTGTGTCTCACAGAATCATAATTTCTCAATGGATATGTTCTACTTATGACAATCATTCATGTGTAAGTACTGTACCAGCAAGTGTTACTATAGTATATGTGGATTAGAACAGTTTCCTCAATGGTATGGACAAGACAGTGATTTGTACTGAGTACAGTAGCCAGCTTGTTTATCTGTATATGGAGTGTCAATTTACTTATTTAGATGTGGTAGTCCTATTACTGGCATATTATATAACACTAGCTGCTAGTCATCAAGTGTGATTGATGCTGATTCTTGTTTCAACTGATTAAGGTTTTAATCCTGTTCCAGAAAGGTATTTAAGGGCTGTTTCTGGTGGCGAGTAGCATGTTTAACACTAACACAGCTTTGTGGAATTGGACCCTGGGCCCTGGGCCATAAGGCGACCCTAGTGCTACGATTATTGTAAGACTTTGTTAAAGTATGGAAGTTACGATTGTCTTAGCGCTAAAATTGCATTGTGGAACTGGGTCCCAGACCTGGGCCTACTTGCACAAAGCGATCTTAGCGCTAAGATGACCGTAAGTCCCATACTTTAACATAGGCTTACGATAGTCTTATCGCTAAGATCACTTTGTGCAAGTGGGCCCCGTTTGACATTATAATCTTAGCGCTTTGACTGTCCTAAATCTGTGGAAGAGAATAAAAGTTGTGACAGTTGTAGCGCTGAAATCGCTTTATTGACCTGGATCAAAAACCCACTTTCAAAAAGTGATCTTAGGATTACGACTATTGTAAGTCTGTGTTAAGGCATAGTTGTGACTGCCGTAGTGCTTGAGACTGTTGTGGAACAGGAACCTTACGTAATTCCGATCAAGAAATCAGTTTCATTTATTAACTTCATTGATGATGCTATTTTCCAAAAAGCTATCTCTATAAAGTGAATATTCAACACCCATTTGTTCAGCACAAATGTAATTCAAAAAGGAATCGTTGTCCATTTATTTCATATCAGGTGATGATAAGCAGTTTGTTACTGCTTGGAAAAGGAAATTGATATTACTCAAATCTATGCACTTCATTGTAACATAGCACAACATCATGTGTCACTCTAACCACCATGTTAGTCCACCTGTAGAACTCCTCCCATCAGAGGCAAACTCATAACTTCTTAGGCCCCCTCCCCCCAAAGTGTTGTTTCTGGTATTTGGGCTTTGGTTTGATGCGAAGACAGTTGTTTTTACAGCTTTTTTTTTTACAAGCTTATTTGCATAACATTAACAATCTTTGTATTCTGGTGGAAAAAGGTAGTTGTCGCCTATACCTATATGCCCTTTTTGCATCGATTAATACAGTAATGTCAAATCTAAACTGCAATCGACAAGCTCAAAAGGCCTTATAATCTTGCCCCCTGTACAGACACAAACGCCATCGTGTGTCATGTGCATTTGGTACTTCCATTTTTGAGAGTTACCCGCCCTTGGTTAAAAGTCCAGAAAATAAAGCCTGACGAGTTGTGTGGAAATGGCGGAGACCAGAAACAAGATACTTTTGTGGAGGGGCCTTAGCTTCATTGTCAATATCTCAGGATGGGTTAGTGTATTGTTTATGCATTGTATTATTTCTTGTAACTTGCGAAGACCCTGGTTCCTGGATGTTGCATCCAGGCCCGGACTCAGAGGATGAAATATCCCGGTTGTACAGATAACACCATCTTAAGGTGGACGTTTTTTCAAGCATTTATCATTGACTTATACTTACTGACATATGAGTGTGTCAGTTTCATATCAGATGCTGTGGCATCTTGGCATTCATGCAGGGATATTCATGGTTTCTGTAAATATGCTTTTGGATGTACGGTTATTTATTTTCTCTGTCAAAATGTACAGAAAGCAAGTGTGTTGGTTGTGGAATCTTACCAAAGTCGTGGTTGAGGGTGATGGTTGATTGGACGACCAAGACCTGATGAGTTAGGTGGCGATGCGAAGAATATAGAATGGCTTTGAGAATGCTTTCTCTTCTACCATGCAGTACATGGATTGTGAGTTATGTTTCATTCACCAATCTGACTGTGTCTCCACAAGGTGGAAATGTTTGTTTATGGAACATGTTAAATTTTAGCATCTCTGTTTCCAACTGGACATTTGTCAGGTACAGGGATATTCATTAACTGAGGGAGGATGTGGTTTGGAGTCATGTCAAGCAAGAACATATTGAGTTACTCACATTGGGTAGCTGTTGTGTTCCCTCCACTATGGAGAACAAGAGACTGGGTGTGTTTTGCTCAGGAGAATGGTAGTATTGTATATTCATGTAAGTTAAAAAATATGCCAGATGTGTATAAAATGTATTCTTTTGCAATATATGATATAATACGCATTCTGCTGATATACTTGTTTCCTCAATAATTGCTGTTATTTTCAATGTTTTTCTTTTTAAATTATTTTTCACACTTTCATTTTGATGATCTCAATCAAATAATGAATTCTTAACAATTTGTGAATAATGTAAAATTAAAGATTTTATGATTATAATATTGTCATGATTACAATAATGAAGCTGTTTGTTGTGACAAAATATATTGTGTAAACTTCCCACAACTAACATTGATTAATCATGTCAATCCTTTAAACAGATTTCTGTTTAATTTCCTGTCTTTACTGTTCATGTAAATAAATGTGCCGTTTGTGTTTATTTTGTTCAATTGTGCACTGAAGTGTTCCCTCTGTAGCATTTATTTATTCAAGCACTGTTTCTGTTTGTGTCATGATTGTCATGATTAGTGCGTCCTGTCAAATATAGTGCAAAAAGTTGGTCTTCAATCATTCACTCTAGAAATCTAATGAAGAAATGTCAAGGGTGAGTTCCAAGTTATCTGTTATATATGTATCTGTGATATCGATTCTGTCACTGTTACATCCTTTGGTTATTAGTATTGTGGCATGACTGTAAACATACCTGCAGTCAGGTAAACCAGACTGTTGTCAAAGCCATGGTTTGCTTGTCCATAGTGAAACACTGTGACTCACATTGGAGTGGACGGTCCTGCTTTTGCCCACTTCAGGCTGGTTGAGTGGTAGGGTAGCCAAGTAGTTCAATCAAGTTTGATTCCCTGATTGGTATATTTGTGTAGGGCCTTAAATAAATATTTCTGTGGTTCTGATAACACGAAATTTTACAAAATGGGTAGGAAGGCAGTGTTTGGAATATATTTTTATGTACACTCTGTGCTCTGTAAGGAATAGTTCGTACCTCACGGTATTCAGAACCACTTCATGTAGGCCTAGCCCACTGTACTGGCAGGACACTGATGCAGTTGCTGGAACAATGGTACTCGCTTGTCGTAAGTTGGTTTGCCAGTAACTCTTTAGCCAGTATACATGTTCATAAAGGAATTCTGTTGTTGACTCCAGCTTTAAGCAACAATCGATTCACATTTGAGGGTCAGCTAAAAAGCTTTACTAGCCCAGGTAAAGATAAAATGCCATTGTAATGTTAAAACAATGGGGAAATTGGGAGATTTGTACAAGCCCGCAGGAATTTGTATCACCTCCTGGCGAGCGAGCTGGTGTTATGTTCTAAGCCTGATTTTGCTGTTGGTCTTTTAATGTTGTTGAAAGCTGTGTTCTGTCCTGACACTTCGGTCTGTGAGCCTGTTAGACGAAGTTGGAATACTTGCCTGATAAGAACAGATTTGAATTTTCCAGTGAAGTAAATCTTTATGTCCATTGTTAAGAAGCCACTGTGGTGAGCTGATTCTGAAGTCAGGAGGAGCTGGTGTATTCCAGATGCTAATTGTTAACTTGCATGATGCTGCTTTTGTTAGCTTGTAATTTATGGACATGTGTAGGACTGTTTGGTTGAATAAACATACCTGACCAAGTTGTTTTTGTTTGATGTACATCTAAAATCCTATCAAGGGTGGTCGGGTAGCCTAGTTGTTAAAGCGTTCGCTCGTCACGCCGAAGGCCTGGGTTTGATTCCCGACATGGGCACAATGTGTGAAACCCATTTCTGGTGTCTCCCAATGTGATATTGCTGGAATATTGCAAAAAGTGGCGTAAAACCACACTTACTCATTAAATCCTGTCATATGGAGTATTAGTAATCTCATTTAGATCAGATTGTTTTTTAACTGATGTGATACCTCTCGGCATGAAGATCTGGTGGTGTCTGCTGAACTGTCCAGGGTTTTAATTCTCAATACAAGCAAGGGAACCATTCAGATCAGCATATCTGATTTCTGTATCTGGAAAACAAACTTAAACAACCAGTCCCAAATGTCAATAAATAAGGCCATTCAATTATATTGTTATAGATATTTTATACAAACAACTTCTGTTCTGAGTTTCATGACATTTACACCCATTTTAGAGTTCAATCGAAGGAATATTTCTTTTCCTGTAGCTGCCTTGTGATTGGCCCAAGGATCCACACATCCTTCATTTTGATTGGGCAGTCAAAGATCATTCTAGGCTCACCTGACACAACCTACTATGGAGGTGTCATCAGATCTTCACACAGAAAAGTATCATATCTGAGTAAAAATCTGATTACTATGAGACTTGAGTATTAGTTATGTTCAAAGATTTATAGTACATAATACATCACATGTTCCTTAGGCAAGAGTGTCCACTAACCTATATCAAAGCTGGTTTTCTACCCTGCCATGTCAAGCCAACTTTTCTTGGCTCGATTGTGGCACCACTCCATGTAGAACATGAACTGTGTCCCTTGTGATCAAAACGCGATATCCAGTGAAATTGCTGTCCTTATTTCAAATGGCTGATCAGTCACCACTGTAAAGATACTGCTGCCACAGTTTGCCCTTATTATAATAGAGGCACAGAGACTTGTGAGAGGACATAGTATCTAGTAACACTGCTCATCGCGGCTAACATGAAACATTCGTCACTGCATCTCAGTAATTGCAATACGTGTTCTGCCATTTTAGTTAAAAACAATGAAGTTTGCACTTGCATATAGGCATAAGTACTTGGGCAAGTTAATTAAAAACTTTGAACCACTTTGTCGTAGATTATTTTTTAAATTATTTTCAGCATAAATTCAACAGGTGATGGCTGGAGGCATAGCAGACACCACATTGTCAGAACTCAGATTTTGACTTTGTAAAACATTGTCTGATTGGACTATTAATATGTGAGATAGTCCTTTCCTGTTTTATCGCATAAAAGTAGGTTTGAAATGGCAAGGGTGGAAAGAAGGCTTTGATATAGGCTAGTGGACACGGTTGCCTTGGGAAGATGAATACATCGTAGACAAAGCAGTTGCTGAAATTAAGTCTTTATTCTCTACCATTGATACATAAATACACTTAAACACACTTACCATAAAATAATTATTTATGTTAAACCATTCATACATAATTACACATAAACACACCATCAAAAGAATGTATGCTAAGCCATTCATGCATAATTACACATAAACACACCATCAAAAGAATGTATGCTAAGCCATACATGCATAATTACACATAAACACACCATCAAAAGAATGTATGCTAAGCCATTCATGCATTATTACACATAAACACACCATCAAAAGAATGTATGCTAAGCCATTCATGCATTATTACACATAAACACACCATCAAAAGAATGTATGCTAAGCCATTCATGCATAATTACACATAAACACACCATCAAAAGAATGTATGATAAGCCATTCATGCATAATTACGAGATAAATGGTATATGTTTTCACATTAACGGGTGTTATTAAGTATAGCTATTTGATGTCTGGAAATTTCATTGTGATCTGGGGGGCACGGGTGGCCCAGTGGTCTAAGGCACCGCGATTCGCTGTGCAGAGTTGCGTCCCTTGGGCACGCCAGAAACCTATGATTGTGGGTTTGAATCCCCGTTCGCCCCGATTATGTTTCTAGGTTTGTCAGCACCATACCCGTGCTCGTGGGTTTCACCGAAGTGGTAAACGTCTGAGACCTGCATCACTTCGGGCTTTCCTCCCACATTAAGCTGACACGCCGTGATGTAACTGGAATACTGTTAAAAGCGGCGTTAAATCCAACTCACTCACTCACTCATTATGATCTGACATTTTAATGTATTTTCTACACTGTAATAGGTCTGACACAACAGCTAGAAGTGTAACAACATATGACTGGGAGAGTGTTGTGCAGAGACACCAACAATCATGATTTGGGTGCAATAGTTACGATTTCATAATTACACCTGTCCTCTCCCAAATAAAGGTTTTTTCATTAATTATTTACATGCATAAGATATTACGGAGATCAGATTGTAAATACATTGTACAGTGAGATTGTGCTGACCATGGAGCCATGCTTTCAATACACAGTGTTAAGATATCCATTACACAGTGGCACGAGGTCTACGATTGTTTCTTGTCTTAAAACACTCGTCATTTATCAATCAATCTCTGCAGTACTACTTGCATGTTCACTGACATAACTTGGTCTTTCTGAAAAACAGTTAATTTAGGAAGTGTATTACCGTATACAAGGAGTATGTCACATTTAATAGCAAGTGTCTACAGAACTGAGCCACCCTTTGTACAGAAAATGTACCACCTTATACAGAAAATGTACCACCTTATGCAGAAAATGTACCACCTTATACAGAAAATGTACCACCTTATACAGAAAATGTACCACCTTATTCAAGGAGTATGTCTCCTTATACAGTAAGTAAGCCACCTTATACAGGAGGTAAGCCATCTTATGCAGGAGGTAGGCCACTTCATACAGGAAGTAAGCCATCTTATGCAGGAGGTAGGCCACTTCATACAGGAAGTAAGCCATCTTATGCAGGAGGTAGGCCACTTCATACAGGAAGTAAGCCATCTTATGCAGGAGGTAGGCCACTTCATACAGGAAGTAAGCCATCTTATGCAGGAGGTAAGCCACTTCATACAGGAAGTAAGCCATCTTATGCAGGAGATAAGCCACTTCATACAGGAAGTAAGCCATCTTATGCAGGAGATAAGCCACTTCATACAGGAAGTAAGCCATCTTATGCAGGAGATAAGCCACTTCATACAGGAAGTAAGCCATCTTATACAGGAAGTAAGCCACTTCATAAAGGAAGTAAGCCACCTTTTACAACGTGAGCCACCATATACAGGAAGTGAGCCACCTTATACAGTAGTGTTTTGTATTGCAGGTGGAGATTCTAGTTGGTCGCGACAAGGGCAAGCAAGGACTCGTCAACTCCATCATCAAGGAGAGGAACTGGTGCTTCGTGGAGGGCCTCAACTGTGTAGGTCCCAGGAAACTTATGTCGACATAAAACGTTCACCCACTAGAGCAGACATAACTCAGTAATCCCAGAGAGGGCCTGTTTAAAACAAAGTTTGTTCTATTTTGTCTTCAATATTTCTATCAAGGAGAACCAGTTGTTTGTAGACTCACATTATGGACATATTCACTGCATGTGACAGAGAAAAATCAATTCACCATCATGATTAACCAAAAAATACTTAAAATAATTCAATCCTGTGTGTGATGTACCCTGTGTGTGATGTACCCTGTGTGTGATGTACCATGTGTGTGATGTACCCTGTGTGTGATGTACCCTGTGTGTGATGTACCCTTTCCCGGCAGGTGATACGTAGGCTCACACACAGAGTACATCACACCATATGCCCAGAGAGATCGGTTGACAATGAATTTATCTTACCGACTTTCATTAGTCATGTTAGTACAGGTCAGGAATATTTCCACAGTTTCACTGAGTTAGCAAAAACTCGTGGCAGACAATGCAAACGAACTGAGTTACTTCCCTTTACCCAATGCATTCAGATAAACATCAGTTACCGGTAATTTCAAATCAACCATACTTATGTTCCGATTGATTTCTCATCGGGCTACATGGAACATAGTTCCCCGCTCCTTAACCAATCAGAAGCAATTTTTTAACGTAAATTGAGATAGTGTGTATTGTACCATGTGTGCGATATCTTGATGGCTAAGACATGATGTCAACAAATCCAAAGTTATCGTCAGATATACTTGGTTAAGTTCACTAAACCGCAGGTGTTGAGTTTCGAGATAATATAATAAGGTTCAGCACTTCCCAGAGGGGTATATGAAATTTATACCTTATCTGTTTTGGGTAAATGGGCAAAAAAATCCCATTTAGTAACCAATCAGAAACATGTATCTTCATGTTGAAGGGTCTAAGCATCAACCTTTGAACCAGTTTCAAGACATGTCTCTCTGACCTTTTAATGACTGTGAAGATTGTGTACTTTCATGTGGTTTTCTGTTGATGTATGTTGTCTGCAGTCATACCGGTGGCTGAACAAGTCTGCAGCCAGTCCAGGGACTCTCGTGAAGGAGGAGAAACCACTCCTGGTGACCACAGAAGTTGCACTTATTGACCCCGCTGATGAGTGAGTTGTCATCTTGTCCTACAACCTTCCGTTAAGGCCTGTCTGTACACATTCTTCACACAAAACTTCCTCTCTCCTCATTCTATGTCTGCCCCTTGAACATCTGGGTAAGAATTTGTCTTCAGCAAGCAATGCTTGTTGTAACCCAATGCAGGGAGATTTAGTGTGACTGGTTGGTCCGGCTTTCTGACTTTGTTGATAATAAGATAGATCAATGCTCATGATATCAATCACTGAATTGTTTAGTCCAGACTTGATTGTTACAGAACACTGTCACTTAGCTTGAATATTGCTGACTGCAGCATAAAACAAACAAAATAAATGTGTTTATTTCAAATTTGCTGTTTCCAGTGGACCCAAAAGGACCCCATCCAGTGTTCCCATTTACAGTTTTTAACCGGTAAAATTAGGCTTGGACCGGTAATTCATGTTATTGGCAGTCCCTGTGGACCGGTAAATAAAGTACCTTATAAATCTTTGTTGTTGAACAAAACATTGACATTATTCTTTTAAGAATATTTTTCGAACAACGTCAGCTTGTCTGTTACCATCAGGGTTTCCCCTTATCCATTTCTGGTGCAAGAATGTAACATTTCACTTTGCTTCGAGGTAAATATATACTTGTCTCAAAATATTATTAAAAAAAGAGAGAGAGGAAATTGTAACTGAACTTGTGTGAATGACGGGTAGATCTAACTAAGTTACTTCAGAGATGACATCATTGCACTGAACATGATGTTGAAAGAAGTAAAACCAGGTTATTTTCATACATTTTCATTTGTTGAAAGTTGGGACTGATATAATTTAGGGGTAGGGGTGGGGGTGGGGGTTTCAAGGGCCCTTGTGGCTTGTGAAGTTTCAATGATAATGCAGGACATGCAGTCAATCCCATTGCAGTTGTGCAGTGTCCTGTAACCACTGGGTATTTCAGGTTAGAAAAGGTCCCGGGGTAAACCTATGCTGGTCGTAAGAAGTTACTAAATGGAAAAGGAGTCCAGCTTGGTGATTTGATTGATTGTATGTCATCATATATTGTTGCTTATCACTGGTTTGTCTGGTCCAGGGTCAGTTATTGACAGGCTGCTGTCATGGGGGTGGAGTGCAGCATTAAACAACAAACAGTCTGAATGAAATCTCCTGCAGTAATGTTCATGTGCTTTCGCGTTTGAAACAAGCTTTGGGGAGGAAAGGCTGGCCTAGTCGTCAAGCGTGATGCAGTTCTCTGTGCAGAGTTGCATCCCTTAGGTGTGCCAGGAACCCATGATAATAGATTTGTATTTAGCTCATCCTGAATATGTTTCTTTGTTTGTCAGTTCGATAATCATGTGTGTTGGACCGCCTCTCTGGTCTAGTGGTAGAACATCTGCCAGGAGAGCGGAGGGTCAGGGGTTTGATCCCCGGACGCATGATACAAAAAGACGTTGAAAGATGGTTTGAGTTGTTACCCTGCCTGGCGTTCGGCATTCAGCATTAAGGGCTAAAACAAGGACTGGTCAGCTCGGAGTCAAGAGTAGGATATTCAGGTTAAACTGTGGCATGATGTCTCAGGTGGCTAGCACTATAAAATCGGCCTTAGTCCGGACTAGGACAAGCAAGCACACATGTGCACACGCACACGCACACGCACACGCACACGCACACGCACAATCACACAGAGAGAGCGAGCTTTATAAGTGCAATAATCTTGAATGCGACTAAGACCTGCGTCCAAAACATTTAAGGTCATGGTGATAGGAAGTTCCATGCCTGTTTACTGCAAACTGGGGCAGTAAACCAAACTTACTGACTGACTCCTGCTGTGTTTCTTCCAGTAAGGCGACGGACATAGAGTGGCGGTACACGGAGGAGGGCATCAGGGTGCGAGTCTCCACACGGACAGGGAGAGTCATTCCTTTGTCAAAGACAGCAGAGGACGAATCATACGACATGGTGCAGATTAGTTCATACGTTGGTATGTTATATCCAGCTTATATCCTTGCTGTTGCCATATGAGTAGTTTCTGTTGTACAGGTTGTTAAAGGCAGTATCACAGATTAAAAGTCATTGGGATATTTGAAGTCTCACCTTACTTACATCGAAGCATAAATTCTCAAACATGGTGTCTGCATGCCAGGCTGTCCAACCTTTGTGTTCATTTTGCAGAAACAGACAAGGACACAAAAGATAAAGAATTGAAGAAAATTACCTTCAAGCCCAGATTATCCACATTTGAACAGGACATTATGGAAAAGATGGGGATTAAAGAAGACAGAGAGCCAGCAAAGACATATTGGTATTGATGTGTTGGACTTGAATAAACATAATTTGACTCTTTGGTTTGTTTCTTTATGAATTTTGGTCCTGTGCCATGAATTGTGTGGAAGGGGATGTGAGGTAGCCCAGAGTTCAAACAGTAGCTTGTCAAGTCAAAGGTTCAAATCGTGACATGGGTACACATCTACACACTCACCCCATCGATTGTGACCCACTCGCAGTCAGGCCAGGAATTATGAAAGTAATTGTGATTTGTGAGTGACTGTTGTTATATGCTTCAGTCAGTTGTATTCCATGAACAAGAAATAAAAACGCTTTAAGTAAAATATCTTTGAGAGCTCATTTTTTTAGTTTCAGATGCCTAAGAAACATTCCTAGTTTTCTCACTAATCTCATGAACAACTTTTAAACATCCCACTCACTCAAAAACAAGCCATCATCTGAGTATTTACATTGTGTGTCAAGCATCACTCACTGAAGTCGAGGAATATTGCATGTTGTCCAAAAACATCATCCAAGCATTTATAAGCATTCAGTGCTTTCTCCATCCGCATGTACAATGATCAAAGTGGCATGACCACCAGATCCAGTTCAACAAGCATGGTCACAAGGAACCAGTTCTACCCCAGGATCTCCACAGGGTTTCAGTGGGTGGCACCCCTTTCACCTTGTGGTGACACTGAAATCATGTAATGATGGCAGACCAAGAATCCAAAGTCATTGAACCATGACATGGAGATCCTGGCAGCCACACTACCCTGCGCAAGTCGCAGTACAACACTGGGCCACTCATACCCACTGGAGCTCAATGCCATCCCTGAAGTTTGACAAAAATTCGTTATTAATTATTTTCATTTTAGTCCCATTACAATTCTATGTGAAAGAGATAATACCTCAAGTGTTATTTGTCTTGTCAGGAATCAATATGGAAGCCATGTTTGTGTCCATCTCAGTCTATGACGCAGTTGTTTCTCTGTCTGGGATTATTCTGCAGAATTTAAGTGTTAATGCAACAGTTTAACTTCAAACCGCTTCAAATGATACACCGTGAAGAAATTTAAGCACCATCTAAAATAATGATTTATAACATGTTATAATGTAATGGCAGTGGTGACTATGATTATAATAGAGTCCTTAGAATTTGACTGGATGCTTGACTGTGACGTCAGAACTCATGTAGCATGCCACTCATGCAGTCTCAAACATGCAGTATGGTCAGGCATCAAATCTGGGTGTTTAAATCTTGCAATGTTTAGTCATTCCCTGCGATCATGACACGAAGGAGCATATCAAAGGCGCAAAGGTGGTAAATAACACAACCATTATCCGAATGAACATGTATGTTAGTCTATGTGTGTTGAATCACTTAATTGCCATAACTTCAAAGACGCTAATCCCCACTGCTAATCCTCATCACTATTGCTTTGTACATTTACCTGCACGAGTTGTATAACTTGAAATAGAATCAGGAAATATCACATGATCAATTAACGAAGATAACTGCTTATACTTACAAAGTGAAAACAAGCCAAGATATGTGTATCAAAGACACCACTGTATTGTACCTAATATTCCTATTCAAGGGCTCCAGTTAAAGGCCGTGTCGGCGTATGTACGGATGACAATATGCACCATACGGTGGGGGATAATTTAGAGTGAGTGAGTGAGCTGGGTTTAACGCCGCTTTTAACAGTATTCCAGTTATACCACGGCGTGTCAGCTTAATGTGGGAGGAAAGCCCCAAGTGATGCAGGTCTCAGACGTTTATCACTTCGGTGAAATCCACGAGCACGGGTATGGTGCTGACAAACCTAGAAACATAATCGGGGCGAACCGGGATTGGAACCAACAATCATAGGTTTCTGGCGTGCCCAAGGGATGCAGCTCTCCACAGCGAATCGCGGCGCCTCAGACGACTGGGCCCCCCGGATAATTTAGAAAACGTAGCCGAAACGCGTCACAGCATACATCATTATCGCAAGAAAGGCTTGTTTTCACTTTATGCGTATTGAAACACATGCGACTATCTTCGTAAATCAATAATCGCGACATTTTCTGTTTCTTTTTCAAGTGCCGAGGACTAAAGATCAGCCACTATGGCTCTCCCTTGCGTACCTTTATCAAAAGGCGTACTCACCTACTGACTTACTCAAATCCGCCGATGTGGAATACTGGACGCAAATCGTTTCACATCAAGGAATGAAGCTGTTGACTTACCTGTGCCCAAAACCCTTCCTGTCTCCCCGCAAACTGCTTTTGCAGCACATCCGAAAGTAACAACCCAGCCGCGTTCACTGCCGATAGAATGATTGTCTCTGACGTCAGCTGATTGTTGACGTTTTTTGTCTATGACGACATTAATTATGGGGACACAAAAAAAATGACGTGGCTCCATTGTTGACGTCACAGATTCCTGCTTGGTGACATCACTCCTGTTTTCCAGACCGTTGTGGATCCCTGCATTTATTTTGCAAGTGTCTCCCATTATTGTCCCACCTCTGCCACATATATATGGCCACTCTATAACGCATCAAGATGCACTCCATCTTGACTTTAGGACAGATTGCAAACGAAATACAGGAAAACTACAGCAAATAACGCAGATCAATCCCTAGCAACGGAAGCCAAGCTTTGGAAGACCACCTGTGTGTTTAGGGTAATATGCACATCTTTAATTGAACGAGGCGCATTAGAAGAGGGCCATCATACACCCATCTGAATGCTGCCATAAACATTCTGAAACAGTTAAACGATCGCCTGGTAGATGAAGCGAAAAGCACAAAGCATAGACCAACTAACTTCCTTGAAACACATATTTACTGAAAACACCAACGCAGTCACATCCGATTTCTCCGTCTGAGACTTTTTGAATCGTTCTCCAAGCAAAGGACATACTAACAATAACTTGGTTTTACACAAACTGATTGTAATTGTAGACGATAACAGAATCATTTTAATTGTCTCACTGACTGGGACTTGAATGCACAGAAAACGATCTGGCCAAACTCCGCACCCGCAACCCAAATAGATGGTACTTTTATTTTCAACTACACCGTCTCCTCCAGACACACACATTCACGTGATATGTGACGGCAATTAACAGGCCCTTCACAAATCCGCCCAGTCGCTTTTCAAGCAAAAATGGAACTTCAGTTTTATAACAAGCCCATTTATTTACTATCCTTATGTCGACGCTGCCAACAACAGTTACCACTTGAACATCGGCTTTCTGTCAATTCGTACTGAATAAGAAGACACAGCAACATACAATCACCAAATCCACTCAGTCGTCTGAAATGTACACCCATAATTTTGTCAGTGGATAACGTGTAGGCCTCGTTGGAATACTGGACGCAAATCGTTTCACATCAAGGAATGCAATTGTTGACTTACCTGTGCCCAAAACCCTTCCTGTCTCCCCGAAACTTGCTTTTGCAGTACACCCAAGAGCAAAACGCTCGCCAGCCGAGTTCACTGCCGACAGAAAGATTGTCTCTGACGTCAGCTGATTGTTGACGTATTTTGTCTATGACGACATTAATTACTGGGACACAAAAAACAATGACGTGGCTCCATTGTTGACGTCACATATTCCTGCTTGGCGACATCACTACTGTTTTCCAGACCGTTGTGGATCCCTGCATTTATTTTGCAAGTGTCTCTCCTTATTGTCCCACCTCTGCCACATATATATGGCCACTCTATAACGCATCAAGATGCACTCCATCTTGACTTTAGGACAGACTGCAAACGAAATACAGGAAAACTACAGCAAATAACGCAGATCAATCCCTAGCAACGGAAACCAAGCTTTGGAAGACCACCTGTGTGTTTAGGGTAATATGCACATCTTTAATTGAACGAGGCGCATTAGAAGAGGGCCATCATACACCCATCTGAATGCTGCCATAAACATTCTGAAACAGTTAAACGATCGCCTGGTAGATGAAGCGAAAAGCACAAAGCATAGACCAACTAACTTCCTTGAAACACATATTTACTGAAAACACCAACGCAGTCACATCCGATTTCTCCGTCTGAGACTTGTTGAATCGTTCTCCAAGCAAAGGACATACTAACAATAACTTGGTTTTAAACAAACTGATTGTAATTGTAGACGATAACAGAATGATTTTAATTGTCTCACTGACTGGGACTTGAATGCACAGAAAACGATCTGGCCAAACTCCGCACCCGCAACCCAAATAGATGGTACTTTTATTTTCAACTACACCGTCTCCTCCAGACACACACATTCACGTCATATGTGACGGCAATTAACAGGCCCTTCACAAATCCGCCCAGTCGCTTTTCAAGCAAAAATGGAACTTCAGTTTTATAACAAGCCCATTTATTTACTATCCTTATGTCGACGCTGCCAACAACAGTTACCACTTGAACATCGGCTTTCTGTCAATTCGTACTGAATAAGAAGACACAGCAACATACAATCACCAAATCCACTCAGTCGTCTGAAATGTACACCCATAATTTTGTCAGTGGATAACGTATAGGCCTCGTTGGAATACTGGACGCAAATCGTTTCACATCAAGGAATGCAATTGTTGACTTACCTGTGCCCAAAACCCTTCCTGTCTCCCCGAAACTTGCTTTTGCAGTACACCCAAGAGCAAAACGCTCGCCAGCCGAGTTCACTGCCGACAGAAAGATTGTCTCTGACGTCAGCTGATTGTTGACGTATTTTGTCTATGACGACATTAATTACTGGGACACAAAAAACAATGACGTGGCTCCATTGTTGACGTCACATATTCCTGCTTGGCGACATCACTACTGTTTTCCAGGCCGTTGTGGATCCCTGCATTTATTTTGCAAGTGTCTCTCCTTATTGTCCCACCTCTGCCACATATATATGGCCACTCTATAACGCATCAAGATGCACTCCATCTTGACTTTAGGACAGATTGCAAACGAAATACAGGAAAACTACAGCAAATAACGCAGATCAATCCCTAGCAACGGAAACCAAGCTTTGGAAGACCACCTGTGTGTTTAGGGTAATATGCACATCTTTAATTGAACGAGGCGCATTAGAAGAG